GTGTATTGTGTCCAAATTTGGTGTCAATTCGTCCAGCTGTTTTTGAGTTAGGTTAATCCTACAAACAAACATTACCTTTTTATTTATATAGATTAACTGGGCTTCATCAATCCCTTGAACTGCGGAAAGAAATATAATATTAACATCCCTATCTTTATTAGACATCCCTTCTTGCAAAGCAAGTGCTTGTTAAAGAGATAATTTCACAGCATATATTCTGGAGGGGAGATTGTACTCCGTCTGTTCCCGAAGCACTTTCCAATTAATTTCTCAGTAACATGAGAAAATATAACGAGTGGGTTATAACTATGGCTTTTGCATTCAGGGCATGCTTGCTTTTTGTTCTAGTGTTTATCATGCCTTAATCAATTACATTTGCAGACTATCTTCCAAAGACAACAGAAACCAAATGCATATTAAGAAGCACTACTGTGTTCTAACTAATTTGTCCTCTCAGGTATTTGCTGTAAGGTGTCCTGTCATGCCTCTCCTTCATTCCGACCTATTGTGTCCTGCACAGCACCAATAATAAGCATGTTATCTCAGACATTCATTGAGTTCAAGGGATGACTTCTGTTCAGCTCTCCCTCCCACATATCTGGTAATTGCTGCTGCTTATTTAAGGAGAAGGGGAAAACAGTAATTTTAAGAACTACAAATGAGACTCATGCCATACCTACTTTGACCCTTGGGCTTCTCTAGAAATCCTGTCGCCAAACCCTCGAGGTGATTCAATGGCAAAATGTTATTTATTTATTTATTTATTTATTTATTTATTTATTTAAAACTTTCAGTCGCAAGGCCGAACAGGGCATAGGGTTACAGCCTGTGCTGGACGGGGTTACACTCCCCCTGAAGACTCAGGTTCGCAGCTTGGGAGTGATCCTGGACTCATCGCTGAGCCTGGAACCCCAGGTTTCAGCGGTAGCCGGGAGAGCTTTTGCACAACTAAAACTTGTGCACCAGTAGTGCCCGTACCTTGGGAAGTCTGATCTGGCCACAGTGGTCCATGCT